AGGGAAAAAAAAAATAAAACAAAAAAAAAAAAAAAAGGAGCAAAACACAGGCTGCAGGAGTAAACCAGAGTCTGCTGCTAAACCGGTCTTTGTGTGTCCAGTGTAAGTCAACACTTATGAACTCATTGGATGATTTTAGGTTTCTCAGCCCCTGGAGGCGACTCAAGCTCGCATGCGTTCACAGACACATCACAACCACTCTCTCGTGCACACCCGGCCCCGGGCTGGCCCAGGGCAGAGTCCAGCCACTCACTGCACGCTGGCCATTCACACCACGGGGCTGCAGAGCAAGGCCTGGGCTCTCYGTCCCTGCTTTGTGTGGGCATCCTRTTCTCTGATTCTCTGATGCTGACGAGGCTGATGATGAGAGTACTGCGTTCCCCCCAATTGCTCTAGGAAGTCGGTGTTCCTTCTCAGGCACTGAAGATCTGTGACCTGTAGCCCTTTTTCTTTGAACAATCTAAAGAAGCATTCGGTGTGAAGTTTGTCATTACATTTTGCCACTCATTCTCACTCGCACCCACTCGCCATCTTGACTTCATTTGGGCTTTTCTGTGATTCCAAATGAAATCTTCACATTTTCTTTCCCGATTTAATGCAGCAGCGGATCCCATGAGCCAAGATTGATGGATCAAACCTTTTTTTTTTTTTTATTCAGTGCTGCATTGTACCTAAACCTCCAAAATACCACTCTAAAACTGGAACCCTTCTGCTGGTACATTGGCAGATGAATTGAAACCAAATGTTCCGCCTTGTATTGCTTCTGGAACAAGGCTTGGATCTTCATCAATCTGCAACAGAACAGAACAGTGTCAGCACAGACAAAACCTCACTGCACACGAGCTGGACAATCCCAAAAGCAGCTCCATCTTCACCTCCTTGCACCCAATCCTGCCCTTCCTCCCCTAAATCAGTGACAACATTAAAATGAAGGAATTGAAACCCAATTGTTTGTGTTTAGCAGGAAATGCAAAATGGGACCCAAAAAAACTCAATTTTTTACTCAATTTTCAGTGCTAGAAACTCAGTTCTTAGAAGACTTTCTAAGACTGCCAGAAGACCAGCCCCATTAAGCCAAGGAAGGGTGAAGCCCAAAATGTGGCTCCCAAATTGACACCGGATTAAATCCCACATCCAGCTGCAAGTGCAAAAGCTGAGTTGCTAAACAAGACCTGGATCTTATTGCTCAAAGTGAAACTCAAAATAATCCTCCAAGTGAGAACAGGCCATGAATGCAGCTGAACTGGATCCTTTCTGCAGTTCCTCAAGCAACCCCCTCTCCCTGCATGGCACAGCCTGCCAGGGCTGCACTTCCTTTGCCTGCAATGAACTCCTGTGATTGGAGTTATCACAAATCAACCCTTCCTTTGGCTCCTGGTACATGTTTGAAATGGAAGCAGCATTTCTGAGCAGCACATTCCACCCCTGCAATGATTCAAACACAGCAGGTGCTTTGTTTGTGAAGCCTGGAGCCAGCAGGGAGCTTAACACCTGGGAAATGTCAGGCTCAGGAGGGGCTGAGAGTTAAGGGAACTATTCACAGCCTGGGAWTTTAATCCCTGGAGATGAGGCTTAAATTAGGCACCAGATCTTCTTTAGATGCTTCATCATGAGCAATGTAAGGGATGCAATGGGTTCAACCAAGGGCTGCTTCCTCCCTGAACCCAGCAAGTGCCACAGACAGCCCTGGGGCTGCTGCCTTTGTCCTGSAGAACATTCAGAAATAAAATCAAAACCAGGGGATTACACACTCACATCATCTGAAGAGAAGAACTGATCAATGATCTCATAAGCCAGTTTGTAGATGTCTTCATTTTCATGGTTTTGTAGCTGTTCAATTTTCTCCAGGCCTACAAGCAACACATGAGAGTTTTCAGAACACCCAACTCAGCCCAAACTCCCAACAAAGAAACTCAAACCACATCTGGGAATAGCATTAAGATTATCTGGTTGTGAATAAGATGCTATTAAGGYATATTTAGATCTGTTTTATACATATAAACACACTGATGTACAGGACACAGAAATATTTCTGAAGCTCTGACAAGCAGAGTTTTAGCACCAACATCTCTCTTCTCCTCCCAGCCACCACCTATCACATAAATCTTTCTGCCCTCCCTCAAGATTGGGTATTTTAAAGATTCTTCTACTCCAGGTTAACAAATCCCAGTTCTTCACCTGTGCCCAAATATATCTRTCACTGTTCTTTCATCCCTGAAAAGTTTCAGCCAACTTAAACCACAATGAACATGGTGAAAGTCTCAGTGCCACAAGGAAATTAAAGTTGTTACTCACACAACCATTGCATGTAGAATTGTTTTTTCCACATTCACCTGGACTTGTGCATGATTAAGGTGAGCACATCATCCCYTCACTGACTAATTCAGTTTCTGCTAATTAGACTAATTTATCTAATGTGCAGACTGTTACAAAATTAGCACCTAGTAAACTTTACTGCCATCATCCTGCTCCTCCATTTTAATAGATCATTACTTAGTTAGGAAAAGCTGTGGATATTCACCAGATAGGCATAAAAAGGACACCTTAAAACAGATTTGCTTAAAATATCARTGCCACCAATAAACCCAACACACAATAGGATACCAAAGCAACAATCCCTGAAAAAGTTATTAAAATATTGCTCCTCCTACCTCCACACTCTTCTATAAGATTGGCTATGGTTTCTGCTTCCTCTTCAGCCATTTTTAATATATTACTTAGTCCATCCAGAACCACTTGCACAACTTGTGCATCTTTTACTGTCAGCAAATTGCAAAAGGGAGGAATCACGTTTTGTTGAATTAAGTAAGCCACCTGAGGGGGAAAAGCCAAGAGTTACAGCAGGAACAGGGCAGCAGCACAGGCACACACATTTCATGGGTTCTGAGTACTCAGAGTCACCCACCCAGCTCAGAGCATTCTGCTCAAATCCCTTTTTCAAATATTCAAACAGTTCTTTATTAAGTTATATTTATATTTATGATCTGCACCTCACAAGTAGCAGACACTGTGAATTTTTCAGTGTTAGATAAGGAGCTTCARCCTCATCTCTGATGAGTGACAGCACCAGCCCAGGCCTGCTAGTAGTATCATATTTTGGGTTTACAAGAGACTTCTGTATTTCAATTTACTGGTTACTGTTAATTATCACATCGTTATGGTTTGGGGAAAAGGTAAAAAGAACTGTGGGATGCCCAAGAGTCCCAGCCGAGCCTGACTGAAGATTCATCCCAACAGAAGAGCTTCCAACCAAACCCCTGAGCTCAGTCACTCCAGAACCAGTGAGGGCCACTCTCAAATGCCAYGTGGGGAAGGARGAGTTCCTGAACAGTGGAGGAACAMAGACATCCCAATGCTGGCACTTCCCAAGGCAGGGAATGGAAGTTTGCCCAAAGCTGGACTCACCTGGTCTTTTCTSCCGCTGATTGTTAAGTTGCTTATTGCCCAAGCAGCTTCTTTCTGAGTACCAAAGTCCCCCTGAAAGCACCASAGAGACAAATTGTCACCACAGGGTTTATGAGATGCAGAATTCCCACAGAAGCTGTGTTTGTTACAGTCCCCTCTRCACCCTGTCACTGTATCAGCTCTCTGGGGAAGTAACAAATCCTGTCCCTGTTTGAGCCTCTCCTGTCCATCCCTTCCCTACAACCACATTTTGCAATTGATGTTGCAGAGGAAGGGAAGTTTGCTGATATCAAAGCCAATCAGAAGTGCAGCCCTGACTGTGCCAGTGATTATCAGCAGCTGTCCTGTCCCACAGGCAGTGCCAGCTGGGATGAAATGAAGAACTGCCCACCCTGCAGCCACCAGGGCTGCCTCCAGTCCATTCCTCAGCTCTGGGCTGTAATTAAATGGCAAAGTCTCCACTCTTTCCTCACAGWTCAATAAACTGGCAGCTACAGAACTATCTGTGAACAGCTCTGTGCTGTTTGTCTTTCCCCCTCAGTATTTCCCACATGKTTTTAGCCATTCCTTCTTTCTGACCCAGCAGATCCTCAGGGCACAGCAGGGTTTGGGAATTCACGTTTGAAAACAAGACACTGACACCCAACAGCTRCAAAGAAACAGGGATTTGAAACACCAACAGCACCCTTGGGATCTGACCTTATCTAGAAGATGAATTATCATTGGAACAAGGTTTGCATCTATTACTGCCTGCACTTGCTGCTGGTTTCCTGCAGTGATGTTCGATAGGAACCACACRGCTTCCTGCAGGAGAAAAGGGGCAGGAATTAGTTCAGAGAAGGATTCCATGTGATTTATGTTCACTCCCATTTTCACATCTGCAACCAGCCAACAGTTTTGTTATTAAATACAACCAAGCATTCAATCAGCTTGATTGCACAGAGCTGAATTCCTGCCAAGACAAACCAAAGGGACAATCTCACCTTAGGAGATTCCACCAGACTCCTCAGTCTCTCACCAGCATCAACCAAACACTTCCAATTAAAAAAGAAAAATTATTGGGAGGCAGAAAATCCCAAATGAGCATTCCTTAATTGCTCCCACCACTGCCAAAAGCAGGTTTGAGCTGATGGTCAAAATACCTGACAGAATGCTGTGCTGCAATGCTAAAGAAAAGACAGTTCTTTACCTCCTTCAAGAAAATGCAGCACTATTAATGAAACATTTTTACCTGTACTCTTCAGTTTATGACTCTTTATGCTCATTTTGTCCACAGGCCCAGGACTCTGCTCCCAGCAGCTGGGAAAGCAAGACCAGATCTCCTCCCCAGCAGCCCCTCCCTGAATTACATTCAGAGCCCCCACCTCCCTTTTAGAGTGCCAATCTCTACTTTAAGCAAGACAGAACAATTCCACATTAAATTTGAAGTATATTCAGAGTTTCAAACTTYTAAAATCTTACAGTTGATAGATTTCTCCATTCCTAAAAACCTTCCATTGTTCTCAGCCTCTCTGAATGAAGGAGTATGAATATTTCTCTCAATGTGAGATTAAGTGATTATAAAAATGATAAAATATTTCACTGAGCAGACTCTCTGAGATCAGATGCCAGGATCACTGGTGACCCTGGTAGAGATTTGGGGTGCCTGGGGCTCTCCTGGTGGGYTGCTTTGGGGCTTTAATCACTGGCAGTGTTGCAGAGGGGCCCCGAGGTGCCCAACACGCCTCAGATGCACTCCGGCCTCAGCACAGGGTTCAGTGCCCCCAGAGAGCCCCTGTCACAGTCACACACTGCCCCAAACCCAACCCCACCCCACTCCTCACACACCCCATCCACACACACCCCATCCTCTCTGCTTCATCACTTCCAAGAGAGTCTGTTCAATTATGGTGACATTTCACGTCTGGAGAACTTGAAGTCAACAGCCAGATTTCTAAAATAAATTTATAATTTTGATTTCCTAAAAACATTAACATTCTCGTCAGGCACAAGTCTGCAGCTCCTAAGAGACTTTTCATTATATTAATTTTCAGAAAAAAATCTGGTATTTGCTGAAATTTGCTACAAGCTGGTGGAAGGAGTCAATTATTCACATCTCTGTGCCACWACTCAGCATCGCACCCAAGCGAAGCCAAATCTAAAAGTTATCAATCAAGGAAAATCCCTGGTGATGCTCACCTTATTAATTTTTTCTTTGGGATGTGTCAGAAGTGCTGGGAAATGTGAGAGAGCTTCACAGTTGAGAACTACCTGTGTCTGCTCGTCGGTGCCGGTGACGATGTTCCCCACGGCCCTCAGTGCAGCCGTCTGAAACAAAAAACATTTCCTTTAAAAACAACTTTTTCTCAGCAAATATTTTTCTAGCTGAGCACATAAAAGGTTTTATGCAAATCCTGCAGCACACAGGAAAAAATATTTAAATGTCGAGATGGACTAGAAAAAGAAAGCGGAGTTTCTTGTGTAGCAGAACATTTTGGGGGTCACTTCACAAGGGATCCAAACTKACCTGGACTTTGACTTCCTGGTGGCTGAGGAGAGGAACCAAGTGAGGGACAATTCCAGAGTCTATGACCATCTGGATCTGCTCATTGCCAGCATCCGTCAGATAGGAGAGTGCCCAGACTGTATCTACCAATATCTGCCAGSAAACAACAACAGCTCTGTCAGCAGKGCAGGAATAGCACCAAAATMATGCACATTTTACACATCAGCTTCCAATTAATTTAAATTAATATGGGTGTGCATTCACACACAGAAAAGCCAGTTTAAACAGCAGGAAATTTGAGCTTTTCAACTGACAGCTTGCAGAAATATTGAGTGAGTGTTGTTTCAGTTGACAGCTCTTGACTGGCTCACTCACCAATACATTTCAAAAATTCAAATAAGCTTAATTTCACCTACTTAGAGACAAGAAATTAAATCCCATAATTACTATATGAATAGCAATGTTAATATATTTAGACATATTTTGGCAAAGCACTGTTGCCATTAACTTAACTCAGCTACATCTTCATTAGGAAGCAAAAAATTAAATTCTGATTTATGTTCAGGCAAAAAACTGACTTATTGCATAATTTCAGTGAAGTCCTGTTCATTCACTTCACTATTAAATAACAGTGTTCATATTTACCCTTCAGAAGTTGGCTAACCCTGACATTTGATATGTGCAGCAGCACTGACTTTTCTTTCATTCACACTGATTTTCATTACAAATTTAAGTGCTGGGCAAAAAAAAATCCTGTATTTGTCTGTGAATGAATGGTCACAGAAATGAAAATAAAATGTAGTTTCAGTCACAAGTGCAGGGAAAGTACATGCAAATAAACACTTGCAATGACAGAAATACCAGGGGAAAAACCATCACTACGCCAAAATAACAAAAATATTTCAAAATAAAGCAAGTAATAGATATCAAAAGAAGTTTGCCCTAATGAAAGAGAAGATGACAGATTTTTTTTTTTGTATTTTCTATTTCAGCTAAAGAGCTATAGCAGAATATGGCAGTGGCTTTGAGGGGTCACTCACATTTACATCGGTGTGGTGAATTAAAACACAGAGCGCTGGCAGGATCTGCAGGGGAAAGAACACCAGAGGGTTATTGTGCAGGCACACAAACACTCAGCTGGAATTCAGCCCCTTCCAGGATAATTCCATCACCTCCTGGATGGTCTCCATTGGTGGAGGGGGGTCTTTGTGGCGGCACAGGTTGACCATGACCCAGGTGACGTTCCTTAGGAAGGTGATGGGGATGGAGGGGCTGATGAAGGACAGCAGAGGCTTCACTACTCCAAGACTAATGACATAATCTCTACACTGGGGTCCATCACCTGGAGAGACAAAAATCAGTGGGATTTGAATAGAGAAGTTCCCAAAATTCACAGATTTATGGTGGTGGGCAAGGGGAAAGGGTGGCAGACAGCACCAAACCACCACAAACGGGGCCAACCCAAKGYATCCCTGAAAATACCCCAACCAAGYTCCCAAACAGCAATAAAGCATCCCCAGAAGTTTGTGGTGGCAGGAAGAACACCCACCTATGATATTTCCTAAAGCCCACACAGCCTGCTCACAAACATTTTGATGAGGTGAATGCAGCAGTCTCAGGAAAAGCGGCACAGCATCTGAAAGGTAYAAAAATAACCCAGGAAATGGTTAAACACAAATCACAAAAGAGCAAATAATTCACATCATTAACTCTCACACGAGACATTTTCCTCCTGTTAAGAACTGATCAAAGCTTCACTAATTTCCCAGGTGATACTGAAATAAACCACTGCAATAATTCTTCCTTTGCTGCATATCCTTACGGAGCCTGCACTTGAGAATATTAAAAACCTGACATTTAATTTGTTTGCAAGTCTCAAGTTTACCGAAGCTTGTCAGGAGCCAAATTTAGTGGCATTTATTGAATTCAGAAATTCTCTGCTAAGTTATGCATCAGACCCAACTGCAAAGCAGTGACAAAGACCAAACTCACCCATTCTAATRAGGTAACTTCAGAAAAAGCAGGAATGGAGCTACATTAGGGAGTGGGAATGTAGGGARAGGGCAGGAAAGGGCTCCACAGGCTCCACATTTAGAGAATTCATCCTGTTTTATTCTCCCYCAGCACTCAGGGGCTTACATAATAGCTTAGGCTGTAAAGAACCCATTTACTTCACATATTTCAAGAGAAACTGGTATTTTTAGTTAGATTTTTTTTCTTAATGTGAACCATGTTTTACTAGGGAAACAATAAATCAGAATTCTTATTTCTTACTAAATAAACGTCTGTATGCAAGGAGAAAAAACATCCCCAAGAAGCAGATTAATAAATTCTTATGGAAAAATTAGAGCAGAATATTTTTTAATTGAAATAAATCATGAGCTATTTAACTGAGTGACAGAGGGCAACACAGACCTACAGAAGTCACTGAAAAAAGTGCTCAATTAATTGAAAATAGAAAGGGTTCCAGATCAGGGTTRGGACAGATTATCYATTAATYAGATYTCCAAAAGAAAACTCAGGATGCAATGAGATACCARCTCTGTTCAGATATTTTGAGTTCCCAGATGTTGCTCACCATGAGGAAACCCAAGTGAGTTTAAACCCTGAGCAAATGAAGCCCAAAAGCAGCGTGTGGTGCCTGATGCTGCTTGCCAGAGACAAACATCTGGCAGAACTCCTTGCTTTGATTGACAACCAGACCCAACCAAATGCCACATGTGGATGGAAGCAGAACAAGCCCTGCAGGACTCACTGGATTGAACTACAGCCTGGGTTTGTTCCGAGGTTCCAGAGGCGATGTTTGTCAAAGCCCACGCAGCTTCAAACTGTAAGGAAGGACTGCAGACAAAGAGGAAACACAGTAATTAWTATTCCAATCAGTGGTCATTAGCTRAAGAGCAGCAATTGGTGCAATATTTGCAGTTTTGGCAACACTCACTTGTCATCTCTTTCAAGACAGTGCACTAAAATAGGTAATATTCCTGATTTTATTAGGTCATCAATGGGTGGGTTGCGGTCACTGGAAAGCAGCTTCCTGTGTAGGGAAARRRRAAAMMAAAACAGATTACASACAAATCAGCCTGGAAAGGAGCATCAATTGTTTAATCCAACCYTCCCCTCAAAAAGGGATCAGTGCTGACAGTGGAGCAGGTCAGGAAAGGCTTCCTGTGCCTGAGTTTGGGAATCTGCAATGGAATCCCAACAACCTCTCTGGCCAAATGAATTCCCTCCCAAGGGGGTCTCTCCTCCTCCCAAACACCAAGCAGGGTTTGTTTCCTCCACATGAAGTGAAAAGAATCCCCCAAAGTGAAATTACTGAGCTACTGGAAAAGCAAAGCCATTACATCCACTGGCTGTTTCATTCCCTGTTTTCTGTYCTTTGGAAGTTTATCACCAGTCAGGAAAATAAAGATCAGAGTCATTCAGTTCCACCCTCCTACAGCTTCTTCCTTCTCCACCCAGCAAAGGAGATACTCAGATCTTTCTGCTCTTAAAGGCAGATTTTRCAGTCCTTTAAAGTGGTTATTTTACTCTGAAAAGCATCAAGTTTACATCAAGATAAATCCAGGTATTTACATATAAAGAAAATCCACGCTACTTAAAAGATCTGTGTATTTTGAATTCTTTAAAGTTCTATTTTCTTTTTAAAAATCACTTAAATACATACAATTTCAGTTARGCTAGAACAGATTTTCTGACCTTAAGAGCATGATAAAATAAGAATAAAATATGGATATTTCAGCAAAGTGTATTCTTACCTTGCCGCCTGCACAGCACTTAACTGAATACCCTGGTTGTCACTTGAAGCATTCTAAAATAAGAGAAATTAGATTTTTCAAACATCTGTCATCATGATATGTGAAATATTCAAACAATTTAATTGTTTTTACCTGTACTATTGCCTCCAAAGAAGTGTTTTGCTAGAAAACAGAGACASACAAAAAGCAGTTAGAAATTTCAARTGGCTTTAAAGKATGCAAGAAGAAATTCTTGAGAGTTAATTCTTACCACTCTAAAGTCCCCATCRATATCAGAATCTTCACAGATATCTTCATGAGGAACATTCCTTCTCTTTAGGAGATGCTCATCTCTTTTGTTCTAGAAGAGAAAAACAACAGAATATCTTTAACACTTGGATTTAGGAGGTGTGGGGGTGCTAAGAAGGGAAGAGAAGCTTCTGTTTTAATCATAAATATGCCCTCAGTAATTCTGTTAACATTTCCTATAAAAAGCTGGGAAGTATTGCACAGAGAAGCACATTTGGGAATTCATTTTTTCCTAAAAAATCCTGCATCCAACTTGATCTACACAGCTGGAAGTTTCATGTGCACACACCCATCAACATTCCAATTTATTTGTCATTTTTATCAGGACACAGCCA